ACATACATACATACATACATACATACATACCATACATACATACATACATACATACATACATACATACATACATCATACATACATACATACATACATACATACATACATACATACATACATCATACATACATACATACGCGCACGAACACACACACGTGCAGCCCAATTTTCTCGTATACTCGTGGCTGAATGCTTGCTATAGCTTTGCTGATGCTTAAGGCACGCGTTATTTCTTTCGGTCTGCAACAGCCTTTCATATTGTACGACGTGACGATTCATTATCGCTTATGCCTGCTAAGTTTTAGTTTTACTCATTGTTGCAAAGTGCCTGGATATTGGATATCGGCGTTTCTTAGTAATTACGTGGCCATGTTACACACTCTCTCCCTTCTGCAAGGTTTTAAGGACCGCTTTTTTTTTTGTCGCTTTGGTATTTGTTATTTCTGTTACTGAACGCCATATTTTGTAATAGCATTATTCAATGAGATAATAGTATCAATATCTATCAATAATTGCGACTATAATATTCAAAAGCGGTGTTCAATTTCAGCGAGGAGAGCGAGCTGAAACACACACACGTACACACACACAAAAGTAATAAAATCTAGAGTCGACGGTTGGAGCTAAATGTTCGCTTCATTCGTTTCTGGCTGACTGCCGCCTCTGCTTGTTGGTTCGCCGTCTGCGCCACAGCAGAGAGGCGCGCCCATTTTGTTGCCTCTTATAAGCCGCTTGACGGATCGGTTCGAGCCCAGCTCGAAGACAAGCGTTTGCGTAGAAGCAGCACCAATTCGGGAAGTGCCCTGCAGGCTTGCTCCAGAGGAGGCCTCTCTTTCATCTGCCTCACATTTTGACGCTGCCCTTCTTTTTTCTTGCCTGCTCTCCACCACTGAGCGCCGAAGAGAACCGAGACGTGGTTCCAAAAGCGTGCGGCGACTTCCGAGTCAGGAAAGGTCGTTCGCTGCGCCCGAGCGTCGCTTCCTGAATATGGAGGCCTCCCCGAAAACGCGATAATCCCGCGTTCTCTCGCGCTCTTCCCAATCCGGCAGCGCTTTAGAAGGCGAAAGCACTACTGGCTTTCACCATTTCGCCTCGTCCTATGGAGTAAAAAAAAAAAAAAATGCGTTCGTCCATGACGACTCGATCTTCTTCTTTTCTTTCCTTCTCACTCTATTGTGTTGGTCGGTGGCTTTGCGCCGGCTCCTGAATCTAGTGCCCTGGAAGCCCTGTTCACCGCCGGCATCGGGCGCACCTTCGACGGAGCGACGATTTCATCCGGTGATATCATAGTGACGTCACGATTACATCGCAAATTTTGGCGAACTGTGCCTTCGTCATGACGTCGTATGTCGACGCCATCACAGTGATTTCGCGCACCGCTCGTGCCGAGCCCGAGCCCGCGGTAACTTTTCGTTCACTTTCGAAGAGGCGTCTATATGATTGATTGATATGTGGGGTTTAACGTCCCAAAAGCCACAATATGACTATGGGAGACGCCGTAGTGCAAGGCTCCGGAAATTTTGACCACCTGCGGATCTTTAACGTGCTCCCAAAGCTGAGCCCACGGGCCTACAGCATTTTCGCCTGCATCGAAAATGCAGCCGTCACTGCCGGGATTTCATCTCGCGACCTATGCCGGTCAGCAGCCGAGTACTTTAGCCACTAGACCACCGCGGCGGGGCTAAGATGCGTCTGTAGGCTTTCCGCCTTAGTAATGCCAACCTGACGAAACTCCCAACAAGTATGGGAGTACCGAACGATCTCTGTACGCGAAGTGTTGGAAGCAGCTTTCAAATCGTGAGCTGGTCTGATGTTCGAGGCTGTTTTGCTACGTGAACATGCCGGTATCAAGGTTGACAGAGTTACTGAGACAAGAAGCTGCGCATGCAAGCTTCGCTGCCGAAAAGCGTGGCTCGTGTAAAAGTGCGAAAATATTCGCCTAACCGCGACACACTATGTCGCAACACGACAAGTGAAAAGGTGCTCCGTGAGTGCTCTCGCTTGATACCTAACGCGAACCTTGATGGTGCCTGCAGTATACTCCGGCGCAAACCCCATCGATGTCATTTTTAAGAGCATTTCTCGGTAGTTATATATATATATATATATATATATATATATATATATATATATATATATATATATATATATATATATATATATATATATATATATATATATATATATGGAAAGAAGCGTATACTTACGGGTATAGGGGAAGTTATTAGACTGAACTATAATTTACATGTGAAGAAAAAAAGTGGGTGAAAAGATAATTTGCCGTGAGCAAGAACCGAACCTGCGACCTTCTACTAACGCGTTCGATGCTATACCACTGAGCTACTTTCAAGGGAAATAAAGAGCGAACGTGAATTCAATAAGCAAAAAAAAGAAAGGGGGAATTTGACTCGAATTCTCTAGATTGCATATATATATATATATATATATATATATATATATATATATATATATATATATATATATATATATATATATATATATATATATATATATATATATATATATATATATATATATATATATATATATAATGTTACCACATATGTAATTTAGGTATGTGCACCTGTGTAGCGGAGAACAGGGTGGTGGCAGAAGAAGAGGACGCTCGGTTGGTGGCAAGAGCTCGCTGGTGCGCGTTCACTGCTGTATACCGTCAAGTCGACCGTTACGTCGGCTCTGCATGAAACCCTCTCGTAGACGTAACAATATATCGGCTAATTTTTTTTCTCTTCCATAGGTGACCTGTAGTTGGTAAGTGGGAAAGGGTAATGGAAAGGTTTGATAAGAACAGCGTTAAGTGTGTTCGTTTGTACTGACAAAATAAAAATCACAGCATATCCACGGAGTGAATGATGATGAGTGGGCGAAGCTCCGGAGCAAAGCGTGAATCCTCCGTAAATCATGCCTAGTCTATCATCACGTAAAGACGACGAGCACGCGCTGCAGCCGTTTTCCGGGCCCTCCGCAACACCGCCTTGTCTTCGTCGCTCATGCTCGATGCACGCAGCCTGCCGGAGAAAAAAAATTGCCCGCAGCTTCCCTCGGAGGAACACTGAGGAGGATGCGGAGCATATAATTGGTTAACGGGATGTTAAAGTGCGACTTACTTGGGTCGATGGCTAAATTGGTTAACGTGGTTGTGAAATGGGGTGTTAAATTGCGACTTACTTGGGTCGATGGCTAAATTGGTTAACGTGGTTGTGGGAGGGGGTGTTAAATGAGTGAACACGTACACACGTATGCGAAAGGGCGGCGCTGGTCGAAGGGACGTCGATCATTGTGTTTGTGGATTCGTTGGAATTCATTTCACCGCGACCTTGGACGTCGACGCGCCGTACAAACCAACCGACGAGCGGCAACTGAGCGAGCGAGCGCCGACCTTGAGCATATATACAGCTCGACGGCGCATGCACTGTCAGCTGTTGAATGTTCTCGAAGTGCGACGCCACATGCGCGTCCACTGGAGAATCAGGAGAATTGTAGATGTCGAACGCGGTGTGTAGAGGAGGAAGGGTGCACAGATGGTGGAGGAGTGAAGCACGCGCGGTGTGTAGAGGAGGAAGGGATGCACAGATGGTGGAAGAGTGGGCGACGGCGCGACGGCGCATGCGCGCGTCAGCTGTCGAATGTTCGAGAAGCGGTGCGGACGGCGCACTACAAGGCGCGAGTATAAGATGCTTCCGCATCTAAAAAGAAGCGCGCCAAGAGCGAATGTATTTTAACGCAATAGCGAACGCGGCCTCCTATCACACGATGAGCACGCATCTGAATGGAGCGAGCGCCACAGCATCATCTAGTAAGCAATCCAAGTACTAGTAGTGGCCATTTAGTGGGCGCTCCGAGTACTAGCGCTGGCTACTACGGCGGACAAGCCCACACATTAGGGAGCTTCGCCCCCCAAAAAAGTTTGCATCCAATGAGCTTTGTTCGTTTCTGTTTGCTAATAAGCGTAGCAGAAGTGACACCACTGTACTTGATTCACTCAAGTGCTGCCACAGCATGACTGGCGACGATGCATGATATAGCGAAGAAGCTTTGCAACAAACCGTGAGGCCTCTACGGCTGAAAATTATGTTATAGACCGATGGCGAGTGAATTTGCCACCTAAATGATTCGTTCGTGCGTGCCAAAAAGAGGGACACAAAAAAACACGTTGCACTGGTGTGGAAGTCAGAAAAAAACGAGAAAGCAAACTGCTGTACACCATGCCGCTATGGGAGTCTCCTGATGCTTTCTGCTTCGTTTTTTCTTCCCTCCAGCCAGTATACAGGCCAAGCCCTGTATACGTCTAAAGCTGTTTACAAGTTGTGCTAACGAAGGCCGACCTGTTTCCCATCATGGTATACTTGGCGTTCGCTTGGCACCAAAGTCGGCTGCTCTCGATCGCTTGCATGCTTGAGCCGACAAGCTAAGAATAAAAAAAAAAAGAGTACGCATTACCCTTTTCAGTGAATCCTGGCTTGCGACGTTTATGACTCTCTTTAAAGGGACGCGTGAACTCGCTTTTTGGTGTCCCACGACCATCCGACGAGAGTATAGTGATCTCCAAGGAGAGTGTCTGTTTAGAAACGATTTCTGTGGAATCCTGCAAAGAGACGTAAAGGCTAACAAAGGGAAAATAATACAACCACCCAATTGTGGCACGAAACCACAAGTAAATCCATACGAAATTCTCGAAGCTTGTTAATTACCAGAAAATTTGTCCTGGTCCGGGGTAAATGGCGTCTCTTGAAATAAAGGTCAGATACGTTACTAGTCAGGACTCTGAAGAGAGAGTCAAATGATTTTCTTTTCTTTTGCTTGGAGTGTAAAAAAGCGTTCCGTGTGTTGCGTTTCCCCTTCTTCAGCACTTGCCGATGGCAAAACTTAATGAAGTCCCTCCCCTACCCCCTCCCTTTCACAGATCATGATACCCCTGCTCGTTCTAAGCCTTCACGCACGCATGGTTTTCAACACGCCTTGTCCCACTCTCGGCGCAGTGCTAAAGCCGGCGCAGGCCAAGTGGCTGCGGTCCACGTCGCGGGTGGACGCGTACCGGCGGTTGCAGCTTCGCTGCAAGCTCAACGGGAACCCGATCCCCTGGGTGCAGTGGTACTTCATGGGCAAGCCCGTCACGCCAAACTCCAGGGTGCACATCGTCACCAAATGGTGAGAAATGCGAGGCATGTCTCAGCCCCGCTTTGACTCGGCATGATTTTCTTCGAGGACGCTGTTCTGAGCTTCGGGAACGCTTGCAGTGCCGCGTGATATTGTCAAAGGACCCCTAAACCACTCTGCATTCAAAGGCTAGTTTTCTTCTTGCCTTCACTATTGTTCCTACAGGCTCCTCCTCGCCACCTATTCCTTTATAAAACACCAAGACACCATCAGCGCTAAGTGTTGATTCTATCAGAATTTCGCGCTCTTCGGCTACACGCAGCTGTCCTCGCTTGCGCATTCGAAAACACACACAAAGAAGTGAGATCAGTTGATCGCGCACATGCAACAACGCTGAATGACTGCTTGGAAAGAGGGGGAAGCAGACAAATTGAGAGTTAAATTTACTCATGACGTCACGCGAATAAACTTCTGATGTCACGAATGGTATGGCAAAGACGGAAAACGCCAGGAAAGAATAACACACTCATCCCTTGTATTATCGGAGGATGTTTAGGGGCCTTTTGAGAGTGGTGATATGTTCTACATGAAGGGCTTCAAGTTTCCACCCCACCCCCCCTGGCAAAGAAGGGCGGTGTTCTAGTAGTTAAGTAGTCCAAGCCGCAACGCAAATTGTGTGTGGCTGAATGTTGCCTTGACTATTCCGATTGACAAGGTTCGGGAAGCGTTAGGACCACTAAACGCGAGTAGAAGACATTTCGCTTCAATCTCAAAATAATCCGCACGTGCCAAGCAAAGATGATCTAGCTGTGAATGGCGCGGTCACTTACGAACGTCACTGTTGGAATACATATTGCTAATTCCAAAGCGCACGCAAGTCAATAGTGGTTTCGTCAAAATAGCCCTCACCTACTCATTTTGGGCAGAATTCAAAAAGCTTTTATGTTCGTCTTCAAAAGAGCATTCTTACGCTAAAATTCTTCGTGAGAAGAAATCCCAGTCACTCCTAATGTATTATTAACGAATGGGGCATGGTCATTGTCAAAGATCAATTACTATATAAAGAAAAAGCGTTGCGCAATCGGCCCTTCGTTTGTAAGTGCTACATTCAATTAAATATTCTTTATTTATCAGAACAAAATACTCTTTTCTTTCTTAACTGGAAGAGAAAGTATGAAAAACTGAAGCAACGTATAGTCTTGTCTGGTTCACAGAAGTTCTAACCCTACCACTTCTATACGTCCTAAAAAAGCTAAAAAGAAGCAGTATAGTTATGCATAGCTCTATAAGAAACATCTGGGTAAGTATATAGTAATAGTGTCCAAGAGATAGCTGCTTATCGAGTGCCATTCTAGAAGGTTCGATCTTGCGATAACCTGATCTGACTCCGCTTAGTTGTAGAACGAACTGACTGTACACCACGTGGAGGTACTCGATATCCCTGATAAATGAACAACAACAAAAAAAGAAGATCGGGTTGCCATTTATGGGCTATTTTACGAATAGGTATTCGTGCCGCCATGTTGGGCTATTATCCTTGCCATTCTGTATCAGTATCTATACCAACTAAAAGAACAGTGCAACGCTAGACGCATCCGCATGAAAGCGGTTAAGTCGATGCATTCGACGTTTCATGACCTTATCAGGTCATCTCGCGATGTATGCCTAAGAAAGATGAAAAAAAAAATCACTGCCACATCCGCAGAATGAATGATGTTAGAGAAGCTTGCTCGTAGGTGCATGGGACGTATCTTGGCGAGACCATTTCTGTAGGACGGCTTGTTAACGAGCCGGTGCCTGATGGGTACGTCGAAGGCAGTATTGTTGGGCACGTTCTCAGCCCAGCACTGCACAGTGTTGGCCACATCGATCGGCACGTATACCGTCCCTTTATTCCGTACCAGCCGCTGCCGTGAGTCTAATGCCTAACACTCATAAATGGCAGACGTGGAGCTATCAGGCTTTTTTCAACGGGGTTGAGAGCAGGCAGATGAGGGGGCTTTGGGGGATATCGGTACCCGAGCGTAACATTCATCGTAGAAACTTGTCACGTGCTGCCATGCCTACGAAGCGAGGAGAGCGAGTGGATATAGTCGCGAGAATCCTTCTCACCCTGCCGGCCTGTCTGACGGCTTTTTTTAAAAAAGACGATAGTCTTTCTTGGGGTACTTCGACGCAAACATTTTAGTCTGTCCATCTGCCTTTCTGTCTGTCTCTACATTTGTCTGTTTGTCCGCAGTAACGATACCCCAAACGGCCAACCCCATCCACAGCACCCACCAATATTGCTCAAGTTTCAGCGTTCAGACTTGTGCGATTGTCAATGAATAAACCATTATTGCACATATCTCAGGCACCATAACAAGTCAATATTTCGTACGTCTGTCTCTATCCTAGAGAAGGCATACATAAGTAATTCTAAGGACCGTAGAGTTTATCACGCTGCGCTGACAATGCAATGCGATGTTCAAAAAGGCAAGTGCTACCACCATCTCGTCTTAGCAATGTGCTGGAAAGCACATTGCTAAGACGAGACGGTGGTAGCACCTGCTTGTCGCTTTGTGTCCTACGCTTTATCGCCTCGAAGACAGGCGCGCATGCCTTCCTTCGTTTGCCAAGATAACTTATAGATAGCGCTCGTGTCTAACGTACCTCGATGCGCTCGTTCGTTTTAGCTGCACGGATCGAGACTCTCTAATGCAGTGCCTCCAGAATACAATTCACCCATTTTCACCCATGTTCATTATCTCCGGACGCAAGACTATCGTCTTTCTATGACATTCGCAGTGAAACATGCAGATACGGGCCATTTTTTCCTCTCCTCCCAGCTCTGTAGCAGCGCGCTCGCGCACGGCCAGACCGACCACCACTGACACCTTCCTCTTTTCCTCTCTTTCACATAACTTTCTCTCCCCCACTATCCATCCCCCATGTGGCGTTGTTCAGGTGATCCTGAGAGAGACAGTCATAACGCCACATATTTTTCTTTTCACTTTCCTTTCTTTCAAAGCCACTTCGAGGAGGCGAGCGCGCGGGCCATCGAAAACCGACGCCTTGGGTGGCGGCGCGCCATCTAGTGAACATTGTCAGAATCACCGGAGGGGTGACCTAGAACGCGACCGCAAAAGTGTACCCACTGGCAACACTGGTGTACACGCCCGCAGCCGCCGTACGACAAGCCGCGAGCAAAAGGAGCAAGCTCCTAAAAGTTGCCCCCCCCCCCCTCCCGTAAAATCGTCCACACTCGCTCCACTTTCTGAGATTGTGCCACCACTTGAGGAGACAAACCTCGATGCATTTGTAATCTGCTTCGTACACACACTCTTGCAGGCGCCGGTCTCGGCTGGAGATCAAGAGCGCCCGGCGGCAGGACTCGGGCCTGTACGAGTGCCGCGCGTGGAACGTGCTACGCAAAGAGCCGTCCACGGTCTCCGTAAGCGTGTCGGTGCGCGACCGCTACCCACCTCCACCGCCCACGCCGGAGCCCACGAGGGCCACGGCGTCCACCACGACCAACGGTAGGCAACACTCTTCTCTGCATGCATTCGCGTGATAGCTGAGGCATATCGGAAGAGCTCGGTTTCAGCGAGCTGCAGGCTGGAGCAGCGTTGCTTGGACCTCGCGCGCACTGCAGCATTCTGCTTTCTTTGTGGCCGTAATGTTGGAGTTCTGTACGCCCCAAAGCCACGATGTGATTGTCAGGCATGCCGTATTGGAGGTCTCCGGAAATTTTTACCACCTGGGGTTCTTTAGCGTGCATCTAAATCGGGCATCTCTAGCATTTCACCTCCGTCGAGCAGACGCCACAGGGGTTCGATGCTGGGACCTTCGGGTCAGCAGTCGAGCATCCCAACCACTTGACCACCGCGTCGGGTCATCGGCGTAGTATAGGAAGCAGGCCTCTCTTATCGATCTTCAATTACGCCTGTCTCTATACAATTCCTCGGGGTCATTAAATGTTCTCTTATAAGGGTATTAAGAACGTACGGTTTCGCAGAGGCAAAATGGCTAACAAGCTGTTCGGCAAGACCGAAAACATGTTTGATGTAAAGAAACGCTGCGACGCCATGAATTTTGCAGCGTAGCCTGGGGTTTAGCAAATTATTTATTGGTTAAGAACGACTACGTTTTATTATCAAGGAATCGATGACGACCAATTTCCGCGTGTGCGATGTTAGGGCACGTCAACGAACCCCAGATGGTTTGTGTTTCCGGAGCCCTCCACCGCGGCATGGCTCATGATCATGGCGTGGTTCTGGCACCCCAGATAGTATTATAAATGACCAATTTTAACGAATATTTTTGCTGCGTCGAAATGACTCAAATACGAGAATAAAGCACCTCAAATTCGGGGCGTGACACGCTGGTATCACCGCGGAGATTTAGGCTTCGATTCGGCCTACATTTAGCCATATGAATATTATCGATAAACCATTAAAATAGCTCGAAACGTACCAGACGTTTACAACGGCACCTACTACAACAACGCTATTTGTTGTTTGTGTTTTTGTAGCTGTTTTGTACGTTTGGCGCTAGTGAAATAATTTAATATTTACCGACTAGCGCAGGCCTCTAGGCCTGCAGAATAAATATAGATTTCCAAACAGATATTTTACGTTTTTAAGTTTCAGGGTTGAGTGATTTCACTGCGGTCTGTTTTATCGCTTAACGCTACACATTAGCGTTATTGAGGTCCTAATCAGAATGTTTAGGGGATTCATGTGTGCTTGAGAGGGGAAGGCCCGAGATCAAAAACATTTTGTTTCAAGAAAGCCGCGGCTCCTAGCTTGTCCATTGAAACCAGAAAAAATACCGATATGCTAAAGCTCTCAGTCGGTTGAACTTTGCTTCAGTTTTATGCTGTCGATGTACAATCTAAATGTGTAGTTTGCACGCCCACATTGCATGCGCACGCAGTGTCAACTCGATCACTTGTGAGCTGTTTCTTGTGTTTTTTTATTATTTTGTCCCTATTTCTTTTAATTTTTTTTCTTCCCAACTTGTTAAAAATTTCAAGCAATGAAGGTTCTCGTACCGAGAAAATCGATGACAAAAAAAAACTAATGCAAAGCGATTCGTTTTTTACAGTTCATTCGTGAGACCGTAAACAGGCATCTGTTAAATTTCGGACTGAGCGGGGTGCGTCGCTTCAACACATTTAGAGAAATTCGGACCTGACATAAGTGGATGTGCATTTGGACGCATTACGGCTGCTCAAACTGTAAGACGAACCGGGAAGCTAATATACCACAATCTGGACTCGTATATACAAACATTCAATCTGATTAGTGTTCTAATAATCTTTGGTTGCCCATATTCGAATATGCACATATAATCAGGCGTTTCTAAGCTTTCTTCTTTTTTGTAAGATTCAAAACAAACAAAAAGAAATATTTTGACGTGTCCTGAAAAAAAAAAGAAACTGCCAGAGATTTAAGGTGAAAATTTCGTCACAGTGCACTTTCATAGGTACGCAAAAGTAAAAAAAAAAAGGTGGTGGAAAGAAAACCACATATGAAGACGGAAAAACCATAAATCGAGCGATACAGGGGACTACACTTTCGCAAAAAGTCCGTTTTTTCTAATTACTTTCTGTCATTCATGTCCTAACGCAACTATTAGGTCGATGTTCGTAAACAGCGGACATGGGAGGGGGGGGATACCTTCCAAAATCAAATATTTTTCGTCTTATCATAACATCAACCGCGCGCGACCTTTACAGCCTCACAATTATGCTGTTGTGCACGACATTCATGCATGCAAACCGCTTCGAGAAACTGCTCAAGTTGCTTCTGTGTCTGCGCCACAGTCATTGCCCGTGCATTTACGTCGCATGAGAGCGCCGTGTAGCATGTCCTTTCGCGACTGCTTCCACAACCGGTGCATGCATCGCCGCACGGCCGAGGCATTACACTGCTCGGCATTGTTAGCCGATTATGCGTCCCGATACGTTCAACACTGCGTGCGTCGCAATAACACTGCACGTAGCGGCTACAGGTTTTTTTTTTAATGTGTTTCAGAACTGAGGACATTTCGTATATGCATAAATCTTGTACATTGTTTCTGAAACACCGTCCTCTTCACACTGCGCTTTAGTTAGTCACTAAACGCCTGTCCGCGCGTAACAGCCTTATCGTTTATGAATCAGCCGCAGTGGCACGTACGGAATTTTCATGCCATCGTTTGCGTACTTAATGGTTCCAATTGGCCAAGTACTGCTAAAAACAGACGACAAAGCAAAAGTATGCGATGCAAATCGAGCACGTTGTCCTCGGAAACTCAAAAAAATAAAAAAAGAAATGTGTGCGACGCAGCGCAGCTTGACACGCAGTCGGCTAACAGTGTGCAGGTGAAGGCAAGGACAAATAAATAAAATGCAGATAGATAAAAATAAAGATTAATAAAATGAAGAGGAGTAGGACGTGTTGCGTGCATTCGCTAAAATTCTTGGTGGAGTGTGCCCGCACTTGACGCCGTTGCAAAAAAAAATAGAAAGGTTGATTCCGTGATGCAAATACGCAATATATATATATATATATATATATATATATATATATATATATATATATATATATATATATATATATATATATATATATATATATATATGTATATATATATATATATATATATATATATATATGTATACATTCTAGAGAATTCGAGTCGAATTCCCCCTTTCTTTTTTTTGCTTGTTGAATTCACGTTCGCTCTTTATTTCCGTTGAAAGTGAAGCCCAATTGCCGAATATAATGAAAAAGACCTAGAACGCGTTCCCCGTAAATACCTTAATTTGTTTCTGTGTCAGTTAAGGCGGAACTGCAGAATCATCGTTGGTCACAGTGATCTATGCTGACTTCGATGACCGTCTCGCAATCTGTTCGTGAGACGTCATCGGAATACGGGTATGAGGATACCAGGCAGACTTCTATAACCTATTGTTGAATTCCAATGGTAGATACAGATCAAGTTGTTCTGCTCTGAGCGGAACTATGACATTCCTATGGTAGATTTGATTGATTGATTGATTTGTGGGGTTTAACGTTCCAAAACCGCCATATGATTATGAGAGACGCCGTAGTGGAGTCCAATGGTAGATTTGGAGCGTAAATTGTGTGTTCCAATGGCCTATTGAGAGCAACCGCAGATCACGGATTGCTCCGTGGATCAAGAATTCTCGCTCCGCCGAAATTGGCGGATTTGACCGAAAACTCAAGAGACGTATTCTCTGCGCCCACCGTTCATCCAATCAGCGATAGATGTCAGGAAAACGCATTGCACTCCCTCGCATCTTCTCGTGCTCCCTCGCTAGATTTCCGCTCACCAACAGCTCCCGTCGAGACGCGCGCTTTCCAATCGCAGATTTGGTGATGAGCAATCCCGCTCGGATCTGCGCGCTCCATTCGCAGTCCGGCCCAGCGCTCGCGATCTGCCATTGGAATTCAACATAAGTGGTGTCACGTTTAACGTAAGCCAACGTTAGAACTAATCGAAATCACGGAAAGCTAGAACGACCACTTTGAAAATGGCGCTGAGAGTTCAACATACGGCCACGGCGACGCCACACTCCATAGGAAAGATGCTCAATCAAAGAAAAATAAAACGCCCCAGTAGTCAGGTTCGTACAGGCTAGTTGCACTCTTGCGATGTGATCTGTTCTCAAAATCTTAAAAGCTCGAGCGCGAAGTAACGAGTTCAGAGTTCAGTCACGGCAAAGTCATGTACCAGTGAGAACGCCGCGTGAAAACATTCGCATTTCGTTCAGTCTAGGTTTTCAGTCAATGCACCCTCGAAAGCATCGCCATCGTGGCGCTATACGCGGGCACACTCCACCAAGGCGAGCGCACGTTTGCATTGCGCATAGGAGGTGAGAAAAACGGGGGGGGGGGGGGGGGGGATTAGTGTGTAGGTAAGGAGCGCATGTCCCGCGTGGCCTGTGCACGTGCGCCTGTTGCCGCCTCGAAGATGCTTGCCTGCACCGAGCAAGAAAAAGAGCAAGAGAGCCTGTCGGCGCAGCGCGAGTGCCCACTGACGTTGATTCAAAAACGCGCCCCTTTTGCTGTCGTTCGTGGCGTAATAGACTCTACACTATGGCCCTTGAAAGGACGGCCCTGCCCGCTGGCCTCCTACTGCCTCAACGGAGGGACTTGCATCTTCTACGAGGCCGTCAAGGAGCCCGTCTGCCAGTGAGTGTGTGTTTCTATAGGGTCACCAGAGGGCGACGCTCTGGCAGCCTAAAGAACTGCCAAGGCGTTGCAAGCTGTATCTATTGTGCGTGATGTGTGGGAATGTGTACATTGGCCTAGTTCGGTAATGGTACGAGTCGTAAATTTGTTCATGATTTCAAATCGAAATCAAACCTTTATTTGTCGCAAAAAAATATACACGCATTGGGGTTAGTATATACAGAATGAGGTATACCATAGCACAAAGCTGAAAGGGGACCTCCTACGTATTTACGTACTACCTTCAAGGGGACCTGCAACACTATTTCGGCATGGTCAGAAAACGCTGTCGAGGCTTCTGGGAACACGCGAGCGAAACATCATAGAGTAACGCGCGGCCTGTAATTTACAAATAACTCTCGAATTTCTCGCTCTTCCCTCGACAAATGACGCCATAAACCCGAACGACCGTGCCTTAACCCAACGTCCACGGCCACTGAGCGATTTGAGCAGTAGAGGTTCTTGAAGGAAAAGGGAAGAAATAAGCGCAGTGCCGTTACTGTCTCTCTCTATGGAGGACACCTCCACAGAACCGCGCAAAGAATGGGGGAATGGGAATTAAAGGGACTGCAGAAAAAAAAAAGCAAAAGGCAGGCGATTTGAGCATAATGAGATGAAATCGGGTACCGCGGCCGTCGCGAGATGCCGCTACGTGCCCGCGCTCGTATACCACTCGCGATCACACCGAAAGTAAGCCACGCGTCCGGGGGGAAAAGAAGTGCTCACGGTCATGACGCGCGCTGACCAAAAGACTCGTCATTTTGCCCCCTTGTCATTTCAGTCCGATCCCTGCGTAGCTTTAAGCGCGCTCGCTCCTACGAAAGGAGAAAGAGGGCGCTTGAAGCGCGCTACAAATCGCTGTAACTACGCTCTTGTACTTGAAGGATTCTAAAAATAGTTTTCGATAGTCAGTTCGTGAGGCAATAAACTCCTTAAATGAAGCCATTCGTTGATTACTTGGTAAAGTGTCGCAGGGCCCGTGTAATGAATATGGGTTCTCCACTGCTGGAACACTATATCTTGTTAGCAATATTGATTACCTAATTGGTGAGAATTAATTCACCTGACTGGCCAATGGCTTTCGCAACTAAAGATGGAGCCGTGCGGCAGCCGCCCGGCTCATGACGTCAACCAAGTGTGCGCACCAACTGGCTTTTGAGAACGTAATGCCACTGCCTTCTAAAGCTATATCCGACTGTGGCTGGTAAACTTGTAAGAAAATTATGCAGGCTAACCGAAAGAACTGTCTGACGGACCGTCTGCCACGTAAATTGAACATCGCCATAAATAATTAGATGAAGCATAAAGTTTCATGGCGGGCTTGCACGCGTGTGAACCCGGGTTCAGAAGGCAATAATTCTGTTCAACGCTTACGAAATGCGAATCTGTTTGAAAAATATGAATGCGTTGTATTTCGCGGTACTGAGAATAAAACGCCCTTTGCAGGACATGTGAAGTCGATCTGGAAGATTGTTCCCACCGAAACGATTCCCAAGTTCGCGAAAAATTTCATGCCTAACATGCGTTTCGGGGGCGGCGGAATGCATGTGTCATGGTGCCTAGTGTAAACGCGAAAGAATATACCAACTAAAAGAAAAAAATATATATTACTGACGTTTCGGCACTTCGCACATTGTTTACAATAAAAGCCATCAGAATGGCACAGCGTATTTAAGTACGCCTAAGAACGCGACGTGGATTGGCGTGTCCACGTGGGAGGTAGTGGCCAGAAACTGCACCAAGGTGGCCAATCCTTCTTTGGTGAGGGGTTGCGTTACCGGCGGTGGTCACCGGTGAGGCCGCATCCCAGGCCTCTTTAATGCAATTCCATCATCACGCGGATAACATTTTTTTTTCTAATTCGGTGGGGAACTGCTTGGCACCGGGATTCGAACCACAGACTTCTTGCACACGAGGCTGGTACTCTAACCACTACGCCATCGCTGCAAGAATAAAAATGGGGTGGAGCACATTCGACAATCATTCTCAAATCATGAATGCTAGATTGCCACTATCCCTCAGTAGGAAGGTATATAACAGCTGCATCTTACCTGTAATTACCTACGGAGCAGAAACCTGGAGAATTAAAAAGAGGGTTCAATTTCAGTCGAGGACGACGTAGCGAGAAAATGGAAGGGAAAATGATAGGTGTAAACCTAAGGGACAAGAAGAGAGCAGGGTGTATCAGGGAGCAAACGGATGTTAAGGACGTACATCATAGTCGAAATCGAGAAGGAATGGTAGGGCACGTAGCACGAAGGCAAGATAACCGCTGGTCATTGGGGATAACTAAGGATGATACATGTATTGAGGATCACACACTGGATTCCAAGAGAAGTCAAGCGGGTGAAAGGGAGACAGAAAGTTAGGTGGGCAGATGAGATAAGGAAGTTTGCGGGTATAATGTGGCAGCAGCAAGCACAGGACCGAGTAGACTGGCGGAACATGGGGGAGGCCTGTGTCCTGCAGTGGGCGTAGTCAGGCTGATGATGATGATTAAGTACATGACTTGAAGCGAGAGTACGTTGCTGTTTAGCGTATGCGCAGTCATCTATGGTGCCGTTCGAGACGCTGACGAGCGCTAGAAAGACTCCACGCCGAGGGTACCCAAACAATGTTTTAAGGAAGGATACAACCTAAAATAAATCTCCGCGCTTACGCATCACTTGAATGTCAAAGGAGATCCTGTGTGATTTTTTTAGTTCGCATCTGCAAGGTGTGACATAAATCGGTAGCAACGGGCGAGAGAGCGTCTGCGCGTCTCGGTCGTGCGGCATCAGCGTTCTAAAAAGTGGCTTCAAAGAAATAGCGCATGTTCAAGCGGGTAGCGCGAAGGAACAACGACACCAGCGATGATGATGATGAAAACATTTTATTATGAAAATTCAAAGAAAACGGAGATGGTCCCTGTTCCAGGACTCCTAAGGTAGCCTCTGCGATAGCCCAGGCCCTAAGGGCCCGGAAGACCTCGGGGGCGCCGTCGCGAAGGGTGCGCCTTCCCACTGCTCTGGGGTACGGGTGGACCGAAGGATTGGAAAGAGGGGAGGAAAGTAAGCGGCGGAGACACAAGCGAGGAAAAATTAAAAGTACACGAGATGCTTGTGTCGTAGTTGCTTTGCGCTACCTGGATGTTTTAACAAACTAGCCCAGCTATCCGCTATGGTTATAGGTGTTCTTCAGTGCTCATTATCGTCGCCTTAAGATTTGACAAAGTTTCAAAGAAGTTCACACCTCTGCTCGCTTTTTATGGGGCCTCTTGTCGGCTTGAACATTTCAAACGAACAAGCGCCTGCGTGGCGCAAAAGCGGTCCAAGTTTAAAAGATAATGCCGTCTTTTCGCGTTACTTGAGCACACTATTCTGCACTTTTATACCACCAATAGTTTTAAATATCATTGCTTCGTATGAGCGGGACAACATATAGCAGAGGTTTCACAAAGTTGTCAATATTGATCGGCACAGCTTTCTCAAATCAGTCTATTAAAAGACAAGGCAAACGAATGACTTCGGGTAAAATCTGAGGCGACGGTACAGTTATACGAGTGCTGAACGAGGTTCCTATTCCCAATACATGTAGTGTAACGTGAGCTCCTGCCGTGAACCCAAAGTCCGTGGTCATTGGCTGATTTGAGCATCGTGAAGCACGGCCTCCGAGATGGCCACCATCTCGAAGGCCATGTCGATAGCTTTATAGTTAACGCGGCCGCCACAAGATGCTGCGCGCGCCCTCGAGCACACCCTCGCGGTCACGTTAGAAGTAAGCCGCGCGTTCGATGAAAGAAAAGGAAGCGCTCAAGGTCACGACGCGCACCGACAAAGAGACGTCCCTTCTTTTCTCCTTGTCATACCTCGCTTCCAGCCCCTAACCACCCCGCGTAGCTTTAAGCGCGCTCGCACGCACGAAAGGAGGGAGAGACCACTTAATGCGTGCAACAAATCTCTGCAACTCCGCTCGTATTTGAGCGATTCAAAAAATTCTTCCGGTAGTCGGTTTGTGAAGCAACAAGCTTCTTAAATGAAACCATTTGATTATTTTTTACTTTGAAAGGTGTTGCAGGGCCCCTTTAAAATATTTTCTAGATGCATAGGTGTTGCGTGGCGCCTCCTGCCTATCGTCTTATTATATAGCTGGTAACTGTGGGCACAATACAGCAACACAGTACAATGCGATTGCAGTGTTGTACCATTGCTCCGGCTTTAAAGGCAGTAAACTCTGCCACTATAGTTTTGAGTAGTGGAGCAGAGCAACCTTTCGCAAATGTTTTTCAAGGACTGCTAAGCATGTTTTGGTAAATTACATCATCAGAGCTAGTTGGTGGCTTATTGTCAAAAAACTAGATCATTAGTATAACAAGTGGCAATTTTAGGGTGGTATCAGAGTGGTTTATGCAAGAAAGCTTTAAGCAAACTCGATGTGGGCCTTCAAGCTTTTCTTCTGACAGTTTTGTGTATTATTACTGCTGTATATAAACAATACAGATGTGAAAATCGTTATCACTGGTCACTTTTCAACCCAAGGATATTGTTACCAGTGCAAAGTGGATTTATAATTAGTCATGAAGCTACACAGAAAATGGCTGTAATCATTCATTGAACGGATAAGCACACAAACTTGCCTAATGAATGACTCCAGATAGACACAATGTCAAAATTTGTGTTTAAAATGTGTGCACTTTTTCTTTGCTACAGTAGTGAAGATGTGCTTATATTGTTTCATCATCTGATAGGCAATGCTACATTGTATATACATAACTATGAATAACCAACGTGAATAGCTATACGTCTCAAGGAGAAGATAAAAACTTGTAGCATATAGACGAGTAACCTTTTGTATCAGTGATGCAGTTTATTTATCAGCATGGTTTATCCTTTACTGACATTCTGCTTGTTCTTTACTTTCAGATGTGCAGAAGGATTTATCGGGCAGCGTTGCGAAAACAAAGACACTGCGTCGCTGAAAAGTGAGTTCACGCCTTTCTTTACCATTGTTCATTATAAATCATTGATGTTTGTGGTGTGTCCAATAGCAGAGCATGTAATAACAGATTTGGCTACACCCATGCAAGCACAGGAATTTCGTTTTCTGCTTGAAAAAAAAAAGTACAATTTTCTTTAGGCTGAATTGTTTTTTGAGTGGCTATCAGTAAATGCTCTTATCAGTTATATGCACAAATCTTCATTCAGCAAGCATTTCTTGGTGTTCTGTAAAGGTAAAAAAGACTAATAACATCTGTAAATGCTGTCTTTTTTTATTCTAACAAACACTCAATTTGCCTGTTAACCACTTAGATACTGAAGGTGAGTGAGGCACAAGCTAGAGAGAAAAGCAGCAGAATGTAGCATTCACGTAGGAAGCTTAAAGCTTAGCTAGGTGCTTTGTCCTTTTCTGCTTTAATGGCTACGTTGCCTTCTTAGAAGTGCTCTGCTCATATGTAGTTATTTTATACATATGCATGCTATAGCAATCCTGTTTTTTTTCCTCACGCATGCTCACACTGGAGTTTGAGTTGTTCACATTTTTCTCTATATCTCAACCACTGACATATACACTCTAAAATAAGAGCGAGTAAAACAGGTTTCTTTTTGTCCCACAACAATAATCGTCATCTATATTGCGTTCCATCCTTGCGCTATCACCCCGCGCCCGGTACATTCCGGTCACGATTGACATGCCCATTATCAGGGTTACATTGCATTCTCGATAGGAAAGTGGCCAGTGCCGAGTTTTCAAGAAAGGAAGCGCACGCAAGCCTGATGACGATTATTTTTTGTGGGACAAAAAGACACCCTTTTAACTCGATATTTTTTTAGAGTGTAAGCAATGTTACCTATGTATGACTGTAAGAAAGCAATGAGATTATTTAACAGTTATGAGCTCTCTGATCACATATGCTGCCAAACTGCTCTTGAAGCACCATTTTTCCAAAGGGCAATGGGAAAAAAAAAAGATCAGATGCACCTGTACAAAAAACGTCCAGTTTATATGTCCTCTTCGATGTGCCCAAAGATTTACTGTATGAATACATTACAAGTGCATTCACATCAGTCTGTTGCTGCATTTAAGCCACTGAACATGTACCTATGCTTTTTTTGTCTCATATAATTATTTTAATGATGATGAATTAAAAATGCGCAACCACGGTTACTGACTGCATAGTGCTGAAAACACAAAATGCAATGCAAACGACAGGGATTAATGCAGTTTAAGTTTGATGTGTGTGTTACACATCTGTGTTACAAAACCTGTGTTACAAAAAAAAATGGATATACAGAAGGTGTTTTCACACAAGATGATTTTCTTACAACTGTGCTCAGTTTTACATACTATACACGAAAAATATACATATACCAGGCGATATACCATTTATGAAAACTAATTTTTTTCCCCATCTTTGGATTGCTTTGGGTGCTTTAGAGCATGCTGTGTGGCAGCGTCTAATGGGTGACAGAGCACTCTTACTCCGTACCGCTTTTATCAGTCTGCGGTTACTTGAAGAAGATACATCTCGGAGTGCCACATAGCCTGTCCCCATAGATGCTTTCCTTTCCTTGCGTGCTTTGTGCTCGCACTGTGGACATGTGTTGTCTTTTTTGTGTTTGTTTTGTGTAGCAGTATCTATAGTGCTTGCTTTTGAAGCCAAATGTGATCCACTTCATTTCTGCGTGCCTCACTGTGATTCCCTTTTCCCCAGCAGCGCCTCCTGAATTCGATACGACGATCCAAATGATGCAGTCCTACTGGGTCCGATAGGCATCGCCTGCTCTAGGAAACTATTTATACATATATATATATATAAGTATATATATGAGATGGTGTGTGTACATAGACTATTTAAAACAAGCAACAAAAGATTCACTGGAGAAGAAGAGCCAACGAAAAATCAAAACGCTTCGAAATGTAGGTCGCTTTCTTTTTATGTTTCGTCTGCGCTTTTGTTGAGTGCCTTGCTTTGCAAACATCACTTGTTTTCTTGTTTTGTCGATTATGCTAAGTTATGTTATTGAGCATGCCACAAAATCTAGGTAGAATGACAGAGCTGGATAGATACATAGATTTGTGAGGTTTAACGGACTGACAGAGCTACGAGCATCATTCTGCAGGGGCACACAAATGCCAGGATACAAAGACTTCCATGCAGTTTTCTTTATTTCGTCCATCCTGAGACATCAGAGCTAACAAAGAGAGCACTCAAATCTAAGCTAGCACTCACGTAATGCCCGGTATGTACATAAACAGTAAATCCTGCTAATTTAAATTGCTAAGTTAAAGCATGTTCTCACTGATTATGACTATCACAACAGGGCAATGCCCACTCAGAAGGCTGGCGATGTTATGACAATAGTGCAAACCTTGGACAGTGTGCAACAAATTGAAACATCACTAAATAAATGTTCTATGTACTGTGTTTAAGCAGGACATTTTACATCATTTTCTACAATTATAAATTTTCAAATGGCAGAAATTCATGCTTGCTTTTGTAATCTGCACAGTGAACAGCTGTGTGGGGCACAATGTTGTATCATGTTCAAAACTTGGTTCCTTAAATGCCAAGGGTTAATGTACGCGTGAATGTCCTGTTCTGCCTCATGATTGAGTTCAGTTGAATAAATGTGGTAATAATTTATGTTAGGCAAACTAATTGGCCTCAGTGATTACTTGTGTGCACTGGCATTACAGTGAAGCAGTATGGATTCAAAGCTGCAGCCATGAGACTGATACTTCTCTCTTTACGCCAGCCCTTTTTTTTTGTTGTTGTTGAGTTTTCTTTGCATCATGCTATTTAATGTTCCATATACTACTCAAACAGTCTATTGGAAAAAGAATCATGTCTAGCACTCAATGTAGTACATATAAAGCCAATACAGGTAACCTCCATTAATAATATGCCATTGTGCCTTAAGGTTTTCATCTTCTATAAGCCACTTTCTAACTAAGTAAGTGCCGTCCTTCGCATAACACAACTTTTAAACAAGAAACGGTATATGTCACTGTGACTGCAAGTTCCCACACATCCCTGCTGCTTTATTACTTCTCTAATACAGCACATTTTTGCAGCATTTTGTTTTTGTATACAATGACAATAGAGAATTATATACAAGGCATTTATTTTCCACAAGCTTATATTTGGCTAATGAAAGCAAGGAACATTGGTACAAGCTGTGAAGACTCAGTCGTTTGTTATCAAAACATATGTGTATTCGATGTGCTCTGCCAACTGTGATTGCTCACGCTAATTGTGCTTCTTTGTTTGTGCCTGCCGCCGTTTCCTTCGGAAAGGAACAGATGTGGAAGCAATGATTGAACCATAAGCATTGTGTAAGTGATATTTGGCGTACATGTTAAGCATGCTTCACTTATCAAATCTCACACTGATTCAGACATTGTGAAAATAGAGGGCTTGTGTGAGACCCAAGTGTGCTGCAATGTGAAACCAGCAGGCCTGAAAATTTTATGCAGTAAAGCTAAATGATGCTGCTAACTGCGATCAGGCAGTATATTACTGTCTTAGAACCTATCAAGTGGGCTGAATATGTCCAAGCTGAGATCTACAAAAAGTTAAAAACATAAAAGCATTGGTGCATGTCTTTTCCGTTGCCTTGGTTAAGGGGAAGTTATTAGGCCAATTGTAATGCAAATGTGAAGAAAGAAAAGATATGCGGTGAAATTAGGATCCGGAACGAACACACGGCACCCGAAATTTTTTACTTAACCGGACTGGTGCTGACCGGCCCTCCAAATTATCCACTCAGACGTACATTAAAAAGTACGGGACCGCAGAATATTTTGAATTAAGTGGGATTTAGAAATAACCAAGTTTGAATTAACGAGATTTGAATTAATGAGCATTTTGATAACAGAAACAAAAATCCCAAAGGTAACAGAATAAAAAAATGGAATGAGGTTGGCATTCTGTTTCTTTACTTTTTATTTTTCAAGCCCAATTAAAAACTGATTTTTGAACTGTTTGTTAGAATTTTTCTCATTACATGCTCACAAAATCAAACATTTGCGAACTCCTTTACCAATAAGTACGAACTTGGCAATGCAGTTGAACACCTTTATAAGAGACATACACTGGGCAGCCATTCTTGTCCTTTATAAAAGGTGTCTGTTATAAGCAGGGCATCACGTATGCATTTGCTTATCAACCCCAATTTCAATGTGTGCAGCCACACTGGTGTCTTTTATATCCAAGTGTGTGTTACATCAGTGGCTCTTATAAAGGGGTTGCACTGTACAGCACTCAACTATATTTACCATGTTTGAATATTATAGTTTTATTAATATAGTGGGATTCCTGATGATGGTTTATGTCCTGCTTAAAACAACAGAACATTTGCATTCCTTTGGCATGCTGCTGAAAGAAGGGGGACTATAGTTTTGCCTCCATCTGCTACCTGGTGTTTCCCTGAAGCATATGGAAGTACGGATAAATTAGTTAAATCTGTGCTCAATATAAACATTGAACCAAAAGTAATTTTTTTCTTAAGGCATACTCCGAATGGTACTATAGAGTGCTGAACTAATATTGACAGGGGAAAAAAAAAAGTAATACGAAGAAGTGCCCTTGGGGCACCGATAAACCTCTCCACACTACATATAAAGCATTAATAAATATTCTGAGTATGTCACATGCAACATGGTACATCAATATGTTTAATAATATGGGATATTGTTAAGATATAACCTTAATTCATAATTTTGCAGGTATGGCACTATATGCATTTTTTCCCTTTTTTTTATTCACAGCCTTACAGGCAGGGAGTCATGATTATATAGTATTTGTGGCCATTGTTACGGGGGTGGTGCTATTCCTGGAAAACTGCTTCCTCATCGCCTGGACTGCCAAAAGGTAGAAATTTTTTTTTCTGTCTTTCTCACGATCTTTGTCTTCAGTCGGTAGTCTAATTGCTCACTGAATAAATAAGAGTCTGATCTGCTGTGTGCCGAGTGCTACCAACATTGTCACCTAGCCACTACCACCATCATATAAAACTGAAGTTATCTTTAGCGACACCTGAAATCGCTATTTGCACCTTAAACAGTTGGCGAACAAGTTGGAATGCAAAAACCAGCTAAAACAGCATGCACATTGAGTCCTTGATGATTAATTAATATGTGGGTTTTAATGTCCCGAAACCACCATATGATTATGAGAGACGCCGCAGTGGAGGACATCGCAAATTTCCACCACCTGGGGTTCTTTAACATGCACCCAAATCTGAGCACACGGGCCTACAGCATTTTCCCCTCCATCGAAAATGCAGCTGCCACAGCCGGGATTCGATCCCACAACCTGCGAGTCAGCAGCCGAGTACCTTAGCCATAAGACCACCGCGGCGGGGTGCACACTGAGTCCTTTCTCGAGCATTTTCAGAAAAAGCTAATTAAAGGCACAGAAGGCTTTGTCAGCATCACCATGCTATTTTGCTATGACTAGTTCTGCAATCACGTGTAAAGCAAAAAATACTTCGTCAGAGAGTAAATTTATCGCTTTGTTTTTATGCCATAAAACTTGTGTATGAAAATGAGTTCTGCGAAAACCTGCAAGGTGGCGAAAGGGTTATGAAAGGGAAAATAGACAACCACCTATTTGTAGCACGAAGCCGCAAGGAAATTTATATGAATTTTTTGGAAAGAAAAAGCTTCTTATTGTAGTTACCCGAAAATTCATCCTGGTCCGAGGTTTAAACTGCGAACCTTTTCTTTCAGAGAAATCTGTACTTGTGGCTTCCTGCTACAAATTCTCTTCCTTGACCTCTCATTCGGCCACCTTGCGGCCTTCAGAACAACTCATTTGCATTGCTAGTGTCCATGTTCTTCAAGTTGTCAATGAATTTGCCCTCACGCTGGCAATCGTTAGCTGCCTGGTTATCTCAATTGGTAGAGTGACCACCCCAGAGAAGTGTTGGTCCGGGTTTGAACCCCGCACCAGGACAAATTTTTCAGCTTCCAAGAAGCTTTTCTTTCTCAGAAATCCATATGGATTTCCTTGTGGCTTCAAGCTACAAATGTGTGATTGTCTATTTTCCCTTTCAGTATCCGTGTATATGCACTACAATTTGCACACGGCTAAATGTACCCATAGTGGTTTATACATTGGTCTACGCTTCCCAATTTTCACAAAAATGCACTTGGCAATTGAAGTGTAGATGTTGATTGCGCTCATATCTTCACTGTGAACTGACTGCGCCATAGTAGCAAGATTTACAGCCAAATTGAACATTGATAGTACAGTGTCACTGAAATACGCTAAGTTAAATAAGAAACGCACTTATATTAAAGTACAAGCCTTGTATACATTGTCTTGCCTCAACCGAGTGTGCTTTCATTCTCTTCAGGCACACGAACTCACAAGAAGACAAGGCTATCGGCCACATCTGAGCAGACACCCAAGTGTACCCAGAAGGTCGTCAAGCTGCCAGCACTGGTAGGTATATAGCAGCCGTTGGTGTGTTTCAAAGAGGTCTTCCAGCCCTACGACTTTAACGTGAAAGCTTAAGTAAAAGCCCTGCAAATGCCCATATGTTCATTTAGATATCACCCCACAAGATCACAAAATTAATCAAATACTTTTCCTGGCTTTGTAGCCTGTTATTTCTCATTAATGTTGTGTCTAACAAAGAAAAAAAACAAGCCATTAAGTTTATACTTCTTTTCCACAAGGTAAACATGGCATTACAAAATATATATGGAAGCCAAGGCACACGCAGGATTTTCCTGCGTAATGTATGCTTGCTAGAAATGCACCGCATCCACCGAGTACAGTTTTTGCTACTTCCGAAGATGGGAACGAAAAAAAATTGGGGGACCCTTAAGCTTCGCCTTCAAGAGTTGAATGTGATAGCGAAATCTGGCCCCTTGTGCGCCCTTCAACCGCTAAGTGCATACTTATATGATTTGTTACATACGCACACAAAAACGCACACAGTAGATTGGACCAGCACGCGCTAATATCGCCGAATGGACTCGTTTTCGTTGTGACACCGGTCGAACAAAATGCGTTAAAGGTGCCCTGAAACACTTTTTCAAGTAACCATAGAATGAATTCACTAGATGAGCTTATTGTTACAAATGTTTGTCGCATGCTGCAATTGCAATATCTCTTTTCTCGCCCTGACGAAAGCGCTGGAAGCTATCCAGAGAGGGGTGGCAGGGCAAAGAAACTACCACGCCTCGTGACCTTGAGCACTTTTTTTTTCTTTAAGCGCGCGGCTATTTCAGCGTGATCGTGCGCACACCTGTGGACAAGTAGCGGCCTCCCGCAGCTATCTTGGTAACTTGATTTTTCGGTCAGAGACGCACAAGACGATTTTTCGCTTACAACTAACAGGGCCGACGCCGGTGGCGGGTTTTCTGCAACACAAGCTCTTTATCGCGTTTAATAGCACTTCAGCATATAAAGGCCAAGCAGGAGTTACTTGTACTACAAACTTTGCTATTTTATAATTGCAGCTGATTAATGTACCTAAAAATGATGGGATGGGCCAGTTGGAGCTTAAAGGAGCTAGGTACTATTTATTTCCAGCAGTTCTTTTAACTCATTACAAGTTCTAGCTTCATACAGTAACGCAGTGTAAGTGAAGAACATTCCAAGCCCAAAGATTACCGGAGAAAAAAAAAGGCCTGCAATGCATGAAATACTAGTTTACAACTTACAATAAAAAAACTTCATCTCAATTATACTAAAAACAAAGTCTAATTACTATTTAAGTGCGCTGCCATAGCCTTGGTGTTTGAGGTGGTTTGATAAATCATTGCAATTTTATTGCGAGTTATACACCTTCGGCATACATGTAACTTGGACTTGACAAACTCTTGTAAGAACATTAATGCAGTTTTATGTATCTCAAGAGCCTATCTAGTTACAGTTGTGACCACACGAACATTTTCATGGTGACGCAATGCCTAGATCAGTCCTGCTGGCCAGCTCCAAGAGCTTTTTTTCCTGCTAAACTCCTGTTCTCTTATCAAGCTTATATCTCATATCAAACAGGCTCCCCTCATTTCTTTTTGTGCTTGAATCAAGCATACAAACTATAGCCATTGTTTTCACATAGTACTAGTACTAACTAGCTTCAAAATTCACCACTGAAAATTACTAGCACAACTGATTGCCGATCAACAATGCAAATGTGCGGGACGACAGTTAAGTCATCAATAAATTCAAGCACCTGCTCAACGGAAAGTTGTAACTTGGAAAAAGAGAACATTGAGCTAGTTTGTAGGGCATCATCACATACAAAGATAGGCATTCAAACATGAATGCAGGGGAAAGACACCAGTGTTTTCAACTCCACTTTCTTTGTGTCTATGTTTGAAATCCTGGCTACTTCAATAAGAAATAGAGTTCAATTGTAAATTTCAACCTTTCTAATAGTTGGGCTAATAGATTGTGTTTTGCATCAACATTGTATATGCAGGGGTGAGACAGCTGAAACTAAAATGGGAGCAATTTTCGGAGCAGCGAAATTTCATTTTTGGAGCAGAACCTTGCCTTGGAGCAGTTAGCGACATTTATTATGTTGTCCTGGGAGCTTAAAAATACCAATCTTTAGCAAGGTGGGGGCACCGGTGCATATATTTGATTGGCTTATAATACATATAACACTGAAACAGATTTTGAAGAAAATTTTTGATTTGATTGATTGATTGATTTGTGGGGTTTAACGTCTCAAAACCACCATATGATTATGAGAGACGCCGTAGTGGAGGGCTCCGGAAATTTTGACCACCTGGAGTTCTTTAACGTGCGCCCAAATCTGAGCACACGGACAGATTATCGCTTGGTATGAGCTACACTACCTTTTTACATACCACATGACCTATCTAGCCTACATGTGAAATATTTAAAAAAGGTTTTGTTGAACTCTAGGTTCCCCAGAAACATCTAAAAAAATGCATCAGATTTAAAAAGAATTTAAAAATTGTGATTGCATAAGAATCTTAGTTAAAGAAAAGCCTGACATCATAGCATCAAGAGCTTTTAACAGACAACAAAAGCACACTGCACTGCCGTTCGCAGCCAGCTCGTGCAAAACCACCTTCTAGAGTGCAGCGCGAAAGCCAAGAAACCTCGCCTCATCGACTATCTCGTAAAGCACGTGCGTATGGCACTAAGTGATAAGCAAATAATAGTGATAACACCTCTCCAGACGAGCAACCACGCGTTATTATTACAGTACATGTTGTCCAGTTCTATATTTGTTTAATATACTATAGGTCATCAACGTCGATGTAGAACTCCCAATAATACATCAACTTGCGATTGCTGCCTGCGCCGCTCCATGATTCGCGTTAAGTGCTCACGCAGCGCAGGTAAAAAAATTCGTGTCCAGACAAACGAACTGCTGAACATAGGCAGGTTTTCTTGCAAAAAAAAGAAGGAAAGAAAGAAAACTAAGTCACACTGCCGCCGACCGAAACACAGATCGAGATAACCCTAAAGCTCATGTAGCCCAGGGCAGGCACACATGCAGCGACACCTCTTTGAGCGCTCATTGCGAGTTTCGATTACAAAATGGAGCAGTGGCAAATCACCATTCATGAATACAGTGCCAAGTGATCGCTGAAGCGTAATGAGTCACGAATAAAACCCCGAGGTTCCCATTAATGTCGTTCACATTGGTTTGAATGCGTGTTTTGTCATCATGGCTTCACATGTAACCAAGTGTCTCTCTTTACCTGCAGACACCAATGTGCGTATTTTGCGTGTGATGGCTTTTTTAAATGCAAAATGCAATGAGAACTCGCTTGTCTAAATAAATTAGTAGCTAATGGGTGTAAACCGGGAATGGGTTGCACACGTTCTGCCGCTCACAGAACCCATTTTGAGAACCCATTTGCACGCGCCAGAGCATCCGGGAGACGCGTCGGATGCAGAGAAATGACTACACGTTTACAGTTACTCGCTCACAACAAACACGTACTCGTAGGTGACCGCACGCAGCAGCGTCGACATAATAGCCACAGTGACAAGAGGAACGCGCTAAGCACAACAAAGAACTGGAAAGTCAACCTCGCTATGCTTGCCGCCTGACTCGGTAGTTTTCGCTAGCCGACAGTGGCACCAGAACACATAGCCGAGCTAGTAGAAGCAGCACACTCGATGCACGGCAGCACATTTTTGTGGGGTCGCACATCATTGCAAAATTTTAAAAACTATGGCGGCACTATAGAAGCCTTTGTCACCACAAAAGTGCCAAGTGAAAAAAAAAATAAAAAATTGGGTGCGTCTTATTAGTCAAACTCGCACTTTCTTCCCCACTGAAGCTGAGATTGGCATCAAAATTCTAGCTTTCGAAGCTGTTTTGGAGAAGTTCAGTGCACTTTTCTCGATTTTTATGCATTTGAAGCAGCTTGGCGCAAGAAAACAGAAATGTATAAAAAATGCGCAATATGCGCATCTGTTTCACCCCTGTATATATATATATTCATTTTCACTGTCGTGTTACCATCGCGTGTAAACTCCTGGCACTGCTAACAGTTAGAGCCCAAGCATAACCCTTTAGAATTTTAATTACCCCATATGTAATACCCACAAGGGCTCTCTAGTATGTGAATATATACTTGTTGCAGTAAACAAACAAATGCTGAAGAGCCACTCATCATGTTGAATGCCATCTCAAAAGGCTCTCATGTTCACAGGCTGGCCATTCGGCAGTTCCAAGAGTGCGTGACGGTACCACCTCTTGACAAGCAAGCCTCATCGAGGTTGTCACCGAGGCGTTTTGCCGTGCAGCCGCAACGGCAAGTCGCAGCTGCTACTCCGAGGCCAGCATCTGGACAGTCAAGGGGCAAGCAGGCTTCGACAATACAGTGATGAGGAATGAGACCAGTCTCTTGCTGGCAGCTCAGCGACAGCCACAAGCGGAGCATTCCAGTGCCATTCGTGCAGTTCGGCAGTTCAGGAGCTTGGACTCATGTGCCGGGACAAGTCTTTTTGACGAAGAACTTGAGCATCATGTGCGAAACGTTGTCAGCGAAGTACAGCATGCGTTTGTCCATGCCAGTACCAAAGAAATAACTTGAACAGCATACTGCATTTTCTTTTTCAATGTTGTCGTCCTTGTCATCGAAAGCTGTGCTTCGCTGACGACGTCCGTGACTCCCCCCTGTACCCAAACCCCTGCCCTACCTCCGTTCAACGGTGGTAGTACGTTTCCGGGCTGATTTGAGGGATGGCCCCACCAGCTCTCAAGAAAAATGTATTGTGCTTCAGCAGTTTTCTTGTTTTCTCTTCTCGAATCATGCCATTCCTGCATTTATTACTGTCGTGTTTTTTTCGTTTGTGCAGAGTATCTTTTCAACATGCTGAACAAGTGAACTGCCATTGATCTTTTTTTTCATCATTAGTTTAGATGCGTACACCAGCTTCTGAGATGCAATGAATTCTGCATGTATCGCGTTGCCTGAAGCCGCAGGCGATGGCGTATTGTGGACTATATTTATTTAGAGAATTCAGCAGCTCAACAAGCTGGGGATGTGACTTGCATTTTGGGAAAGCATTATGTTAGATCTTTACCTCAGTAATGTTTCGTCGCATCAACTTGATGTGGCAAAAATACGCTTGAAGTCGTTAGCTTTAGCACAGCATTGTGCTGACTGCATGTTGCTCGCTCGTGCTGTGTTGTGATTTTTCTTTTTTTAACTTATGAGTGATGAGTGTCTGATAGGCTTTTGTACTTATGTGGGCCTAATGTACTGACTCTCGTATGAGAGAGACCGCTATAGTTGTTGCATATATACACTACTGGCATAGTCTCTCGGTGGCACCTTCTCTGGTTGCCGATGGCTTTAGAAGCTCTGAAGGGACATTTTGCAGAGTCTGTCGGTGCAATTATGTTATAAGCCTGCTGGGCGGCATTTTATTCTCTGCTGTAGGAGACATTGTTGACATGCACAATGACAGTACTCTTCCCTAATTTTGGCAGCCAGCACAAATAGGGGTCCTGCACACAGGGATAACAAGTTAACATAGTTCTTTTCCAAATACATTCACAAAAAGCAAGTAATCAATATATTACTGACTAGCTGCACTAGATTGGAACATACACCATTTTAGTGACTACATGAACAGTACATGTAATGCTAGATAGAATGCACAAGCCCAAGCATCTAGTAGATAACGAAAAGATTATCAGTGGACAGAAAGCAACTAATCAGAAGCATTAAGATCATGAAATTAAAGCAGTAGTGGTAGGGGGCTTCCTCACGCAACTGCCTTTTTTCAGCAAACAGGATTGCGTTTTGCTCGCTGCATACTGCTTGCTTAGTGTAGTTCTGTCTGTCAGCAGAATTGTATTTAGGTGAAAATCAAGAGCTGATTAAAAAAAAGTAGTGTTACAGCCTGGTGCCACCTCTACATGGCGTGTTCATATTGAACAGGCTACAAGTACTTTGCAGTGGGCAAGTATAATATAAATGGTATACAGAGCGCGTTGACACCTTTCTATGGCAAATACATTTTTAACTTGTTGTAACTCCCACATATTCAGCCACGACAGTACACTACCTGACAAAATCAAATATTAAAATGTTAAATCGTATCTTTTGATTTGAGACGAGAGAACTATCTTGAATGTTAAAGGCTGAATATTTGCAAAGCCCTATCACTAGGCCGTGCTCATTCATCGCACATGATACAAAGCACACAGTGACTGCAGAGACTGAATGCACCACTTCTGCCGTTTCATAAGATCCCATCCCTGAACAACTTCGTGGCAGCCACATAAATACTTCTGAAGTGGTCTCAGTGGACTGCTCAAGGGAAAGCACACAATCAATATTGAAGTTCTTCATTCAGATATTTCCTTTGTTTGTGTTGCACAATCAGCAATAAGATTAGTTCAAATATTACTAAACATGAACAGTACATCTGCGGAAGCAAAAAAAAAAGTTCCGTTGTTCTAGAACATTACAGAGCAGCAGACTTGAAATACCACGGGAAGGACTGCAACGGTCACAAAATTTAACAACAGAGCAGGCAATTGCAAGCAACTGCTACCCTGGAACCTAGAGAAACACCTACATTGGATGCTATAACCTACGACAAGCTGCCAGAATGCTTTTTCTTTTGAAAAGATTTGCAAACCTCTTTGGTCATTCAGCACAACAGTGTACATACTCGAATGACTGCAAGATGCCTGAACTGCTCCGATTGGGCTTTGCAACCTAGAACAATTGAATCGCATTTTCCTAAGTTTATTTTAGCATGTACGGCCCCTATAGTACAGTTTAAGCACTGCCTAATTAAGTGTAGCCTCCTCTACCACAGCTCATCCTACATGATGTGCCTGGCTCGATAGCTATGTACGGCAAAATTTTGCCAATTAGACTAGTGAGTTGTAGAATATGTAAAACCAAAATATGCGTCTTTTAGCTGCCACTGAGTTGAGCCTTATTAGCATAATTTCACTCTAAATAAGGCATAGATTCAGAAGCCACCGGGGGACCCTGCCACTGCCAAAGTGTGTACACGATAAGCTTCTAGAGTCACACGGTGGCCAGGCAATGCCACAAGCTTCTAGATCACTGTTTGTGAGAAAACAACATGCCGTGTTATGGTGTATGTAAGCACAAGTGCGTGGCCTTGGTCATCACAATGCAATGCTGAATTCAGTTTTGTTTTCACAATTTCGCTTTGAAAGCAAGACGGTAACTGTCGAAAAATGGCTACAAGCTACATCTCATAACAGATGTGTCCTTCATTGTAACTGCAACAAGCTCTCATAACCAAAGAGTGTGTGGACTGGTTTTGCAAAGTGTTTTCGCTAATGCACAAGGATATGAAAACCAACCCGGAGTTTACAAGTGCTAAGCATATTGAACAAGTGTCCAAACAGCAGTATACGAGCAATAGATTAGACCCCCTTCTTTCCTGTGGGACCTCGGGTTACGGTGGAGTAGGCTTTGAGGTTCCCCCTTCACACAACTTGGCCGGCGCTCTTTCTTACACCTTGATCTCATTTAGTTCATTGTGTCTATGTAATGTAGTAGTGTGTCCTCCCAATTAGTCAGTCCATACATACACCGACAGCAGCAGCAGCTCGGCTTGCTTTCAAGTGTGAAGTACGCCCACTGGCTTTGTGGTCACACGCATTGGTTCAGTCACAATCACTGCAAGTCATTTCGAGCAGCCTTTTCCCTTCATTACTACCGTTGTTCCTAAACTTTTGCCGATTACTTCATTTGTATCTAAGCTACCCTCATTTCTTACACTGAGCAACAGCACTGTTCGAGCTTTGATGCGAGTCACTGTTTGTGAATGCCTTTGATAGCGTGTGATGGTTATGCAGCAGCTTTGTATACTTCGACGGTGCTGAGTGAGTCTGGAAAGAAAAGGTTAAGAATTATAGGAGTGTTTTTATGGAGATTCCACAGCTGCCAGCATGCACTTCGAGTGGTTGTAAATAGTGATGCAGTTTGGTTCTTGTACATAGCTTTTTTTTCTTCCTGATACAGTAACATTACAAATACAAGTTAAAGTGTTAGATCTGTTGAGCGTGCAAAGGGAACAGAAAACATTATGGCCTTATTGTGCAAACCTTTGCACAAGTGGAACATGCGTGAGTGCATGTAAAATTTTTTAAAAGTTTGGTCAGAAATGTCGCATTAGAAAAATGTTCAATTAATTTGACCAAATTCTCGGCCAGTGCTTAAAAAAAACGGTATGTCGTCCAAACCATACCAAGATTGTTGTACCAAAACTGTGTTGACTGAGTGTAGTTGATAACCAATGAAAATGTTCTACGGAATACAGGGTGCCAACTCAACTGTTACTCTGCCTTCCAAGCTGGTCTGGGCTTGCTTCCTTTTTTTTTTGTTCATACAAGTCAATGTGTGCAAAAGCCTTAAAACTGTGTTAAAAAAGAAAAGAAAGGGGCACCATTCATGTTATGCACGATATTGTAAGCAACACAAATACTGCTCTTGAAGTTCCACAAGAACAGCTAATATTTACCTCGAGTGACTCTACCTTCCAAGTGTGAACGACGTGCTGCCTGCATTTGAAGTCTGTGTTGTTGGTAGGTGGGGTGTGTGTGTTTTTAATGGCCAGGGTGCTTAGAAAGAGTCAATGGCAACACAAAGCACCATGGTCAAATGTAGCCAAAAAAAAAATTTAACACATCACTGATGTTCCAGTGTAATTTTGCCCATGGCCCCCAGTTAGCCGACCCTCATAACATGCCAGAATTACGGGCTGCACTAAAATTATACAAAACAACAAGTGGGCTAAACGAAGGAGTCCCTAATGGAGTCAACTACGAGGTGCAACTGCCAGAACGTTGCCAAATGTGACCCCATTGCTGCAATTGTCATTTAAATAGTGCGATAGCCCACCGACTGGCCCTAATAAAGGGAAGAGCGAAATTTGAATTCGTGAGGCTGACATAGAAATAGCAATAATTTTTCAGAAGGAAAAAATGCCCCAAGCTGACAAGAAGGGGCGTTGAGGCAGGATATAATCTTATTACATACGTAAATGGGAGGAAGTTTCGGATGCTAAAAATAGCACTGAGCAGTAAAATATATTTTGATGCCATTAAAACGGAACCCCTAGAGAAAAGAAAAACACCAAGAATGGGAAGGAAGAAAGGTTCAACTCTTGGTTTTTGCATGCAGATAGGTTGTTGTGCAAGTGGCATGCAATTTGCAACTTTTTTTTTTTTTTCACGGTAAGGTAGCAACAGAATTACAGGTGCAGTGGTTTGTTGCCCAACTTTCCTAGGGCACTGCTTCCGAAAACCTGTGCATGAGACACTAAAGACTTTTCTTTGAAATCTGAGCAGTGCCAACACAAAGCATTGTATTTGTGAGCTCAGGGAGCATGGGAACACTGCCTTCATTGTTGGTATTGTGTAGAAAGACTTGCTATACTCTGCCAGAAAAATACTGTGTGACTACTTTTGGTAGACAGAGTATTGTTTTAAAGTCAGTAACTCTGGTGTTTCCAGTTTTTTTTTTTTCAAACCTGTTTGAATGTGCGCGAGTCTTGAAAGGCAGCTCTCAACCAGTGCTGCATTTATGAGTGACAAAGAGAAAGACCGCATTCATAGCATTGCATTTTCTTTTCATTTGTTTTACATTTTAAAGCACACTATTTTGCATTTTTCACTCCCTTTACTAGCAGAGTGGCATCCACTGAAACAGAAATGTTGTAAAGCGATGCTATACCCTACTTCGTTGTTTTTTTTTTTTTTTTTTCAGATATCATCACCTACACTTGTTACGATATGAAAAAAAAAGTGTCATTCACTGGAAACGTGTGCCATATGTTTCATAGCACATTCGGATGCATTTTATTTATTAATAAAATAAAAGTCGGTTATATGAGGTTGTTTTTTAAAGTGATTAAAACCGCTTCATCCAAACCTGCATCACTACACAGAAACACATACATATAGTACTTGCAAGGTCTGCTCACGCAGCTCACTTGCAGAGAAAACCTTTTGCAGAAGGAAAAAAAGCTTCAATGAAAACATTTATTTACAAACACTACGCAGACTCGAATGCACACATAAAAACAAAGAATCATGGTGGAAAGGCCCAAAATGAGAAAGCCCAGAATCACCAAGTGGCTGACAGCAGCTGTAGGAGTGCGTTTTTCAAACAATGCACTGCCAGGCCTGGTTTCACAACACGTACCCACATCTAAAGGGCACAGCTGCGGCGCAGATATTCGAAAAGGCGGAATTTGCCCATTCCTGCTTGTGGTGGCTGGTGTTGGCTGTACTGTACCAGAAGCTCATAAAGGCCACCTGGGAAAAAAAAATCATAACTTAGAAACCTATCAGAGACAGAAGACTTGAACAAAACAACATAGCTAGCAAAGTTGTGAACATTAGAACTAAAAAATCTCCCAGGAATGACAAAAGGTGACAGCCCACCCTTCAAGAAAGTTTACCTTCACCACAAATGTCTAGCAGTATACAGGGGTACACACACAGTTCATCGACAATGATTTACCCTTACAACGAAGTACAAAGCCAACGGCAAAATTAGTGCAACAGAGGCCAGCAAGCAATGCACCACATGTAGATCAGCGACTTATCCATTGATTCAATGATGCCATAGGACTGAAAAGGACGGAACAGAGGAAAATGACGCGACACGTACATATCCAGTCGTCGTCTTTTGTCTCTTCGGTGCTATGGCCTCACTGAATGTACCCAGAAGCCTATTACACATGTTGCCCTATCCCACAATAAACTTGTCTAACAAACTTGCTCAAAACAAGCATGTCTTTAATGTAATCGCATATTAGGCAGTATAGGTGCCATTTCCATGTCTTTCTTGTGTGCATTCTTAGTAGCCACGGACTGCCCCTTGCTTAAATGCCTTTAAAACTTTTTTCTTCCGTTTGCCAAATTTATTTTTCATAACCCTCAGTACTACCTTCGAAAGACTACAAACTAAACCCAAACACTTAAGCTTTACAAAATATTTGAGAGAGCTGGCAGGTGCAAGATGACCATGTGTGAACGTAATTGCAGTCGCCAAGGGTGGAAGTGGACTTCAGTGTTTTGGAGCAGCTCAGGGAGCAGGAATAATGACGTTTTGGAGCAGCTTTATAGAGTCAAACATTGTGAATCAAAATTATTTCTGGTAAAAAATAATTCCACTGCTTTTTACCAAACATCAGTACTAACTAGCTTACCAGACTTACCACCCACAAAGGTGTGTGCAATCGTGTGTGTGTGTGTGCATGCAATACAAAACATACTCATTTATTACTCTGCCTGAAACAGAAAGAAAAATATATTCTGGGTGGTAAAAACATGGAAATATTTTTTTATGCAAATGCATCTACTGCAAGTAATCTTCTCTAACTTCTGAAGCTTTGTACCTGATGTGTGAAACAGAGTATAAATAACTGCGTCACATTTCACTTGGCGGAAGTTTGTTATTCCCATGCTAATTAAACACACTACACTGCTCATCTGTGCTTGGTCTGGAGCGAAGTCGGGACGACCAATTCACACAGCAAATCTGAGCGCACGGTGCAGTGAGCCGCCCAGCACCGACGGTGTGGGCAGCATAGGCGCCGTGCTGCACGAAACTAAATAGGAGATGATCAGAGTCCACCTGACCACTCAGTGTTTGAATGAAACTGTCAGTTGTCGTAGTATAGAAGTGCACATATGTATCGCGAAGGGCCGATAGTGTCCTTTTTGTAGCTATTTCAGTTGCTGCATATCCTGGGCCCTGTAATAGTTTCGAAATGCTCCTTGACATTGCCACTGCACGCCATAAAACGATCGTGCAAGAGTGCCAGTCCAGTATCTTTTCCGCACTTAGGCAAAAAGGAAGCACTTTCTGGTGGGTGCTTCCGGAAATATCTACTGTGGTGCTGTATTTGTTTATTGGTTGCGATGGGGCGGCGCGTCAAGAGATGCACATTTTTACTTGTAAGCGCGCACAGCCGTTAAGTGCATGATCATGCTGCATTCCCAGCTGGTATAAATTATTGAGGTTTCACTGTACTACCAGATAATTCACAGTTGCTCACACTGGTGCCACCACTTTTGTAGAGAAATCACGGTGATAACAGCGATGAGATGAGCCTTAGCAAGCCCCACAAATGAACAAAATTACAACGTGATCGAACTGCACTGTATATGGATGCGGCCACGTCCTTTGTGTAGCCAATGCTCACTGTTCCTCGGTCAACGATAATAATCGGCTAGACTTGGCGGTTTACACTTTGAATGGACAATCATCACGGAAACTGTCATTTATGCGCAGCAGGTCATAAATGGCGCAGCACTTCCACCCCTGAGTCACACATGAACAGAGTGCACCGAAGAGAAATGAAGGCAGCTTTCGTAGCTGACTCACCTCATGTAAATACTTAACCACTCCTACATGCAGCCTAAAACCTCTTGTACCTTTCACTACAAAACACCTGCATTGCATGTTAAACAGCTTGTCAAATGTACTGACCATGAGTGTAGCAAATCAAATAACAGTTCATAATTACAGAGCTCAACACCAACAAAACAAGATAGAGTCTGCAATGGATATTGCAGAGTAATGTTGACCAATATGGGTTCATTAGTGTTTACCAATTAGTATTATACACCAGCACTTTCTGCATTATGTCCCCAATGAAATGATGTGGCCAACCTGGCCAAGACCCATCGTGGTGGTCTAGAGGTTGTGGTATTTGACTGCTGACCCGATGGCTGCAGTATTCAATCCCGCCCATGGCGGCCGCATTTCGAAGAAGGCAAAACACTGGAGGCTTGTGCACCTCAATTTAGGGGCCCGTTAAAGAATTCCAGGTGGGCGAAATATCTGGAGTCCTCCGCTACGGCATTTCTTATGATACTGTCATGGTTTGGGGACATAAAACTCCAAGAATCATTATAGTTAATAAACCCAGTAAAGAATCAAGCCAGCTTTAGTGAAACACTACCGCAAACGACGCTGCCATTGATTTCCCATGAAGAGGTCATGCAAGACGGTTGAGATGGTAAATAAGCCAGTTAACTAATTAAACGAACGCTGTCACGAATACGTGAACATAATATTATACCTCTTACAATGCAGCTGGGGTCCCCAAGGGCCGCTTGTTAAAGAGACGGCCAATTCTTTCACTCAACATCCACAGATATTTGCTATAGCTACTATGGCATTTTTCGCATGCACTCACAGACACGATGGCCAGTGCACTGCACCTCTGCAGACGTCAAGATCACAGAGTAAGATAAAAGAGGAGTGCCGACTCCGCTCGTCTGGAAAAGACACATCTTGCAACGCCGCTTGATGCTTCGCGGTTCGTCAGCCAGGTGGCGCTACGAATGAAGGAAAGTGGCTGAGGACAGGCGCTGCCCTCGAGCAGAGCCGCAGGCGGGGGCTCCATTCGTCGTTGCCAACGGCACAGACACACGCTTGGTCGTGTTCATGGGTCTGCTCGCCTATCCGTTTTGTCTTCTGCTCCGTGCATGCCTTACGTCTACCAATTCTTTCCAGTAAAGAGTGTGACTATTGCAGTTTGCGGATTGACATTATGAGAAGATATAACCCCAATGCATCGTTTTACTTCTTTTATTCGAAACCGGCCAAATGCCTGACATTTTTAACGTGAACCACACGTAATTATACAATGCCACTACAACGTACATCATTATAATATATACATAAACTTAATACTTGAGGTAAAATTGCAAAATGTGAGCTTCGATCTGGGCACAGAGAGTCTCTGTTGTCGCTTAGAGCAGTAGAGCTGCTTTCACCACTTTCTGCTGCACATTGTTCATTGGAAGGCTCCCCAGAGCTGTTGTCTTTTCTTAGTTCATTGCCAGGCGACCAAGTGAAGGAGTCCTCTTGTAGGCAAGGCTGAGAATTTTCATTATCTGGGCAAAGACAGGTGCCCACTTTATATGCGGTTGTGGACAATTGATTGATTTGACTCATTGATATGTGGGGTTTAACGTCCCAAAACCACCATATGATTATGAGAGATGCCGTAGTGGAGGGCTCCGGAAATTTCGACCACCTGGGGTTCTTTAACGTGCACCCAAATCTGAGCACACGGGCCTACAACATTTCCGCCTCCATCGGAAATGCAGCCGCCGCAGCCGGGATTCGAACCCGCGACCTGCGAGTCAGCAGCCAAGTACCTTGCGGTTGTGGACAAAGCGATGTCCTCTCGCTCATTGGCACAGGTGTCCGTTGATTCCTCAATATTCAGCATCATTCAGTTGAACCACGCTTACTCCAAGGATGGAAGTAATTGCTCCCTCTCAATGTCGAGGCACTTTTTTTACATCTAGTAGAATGTTTCCTTTGTGTTTGCTGAAATATCTATCAAGCATCAAGTGCTTCTGGAAGTGTCGAGCACATATTTTTTCTTTTAATTTCAGGGGTCGCATACTCGCGGGCACTTTTTGACGCCACTCATCAAGTAGCAGCAGATCAGATGGGGCCGTGAAGAGTGGAATCTTCTCCCACCCTTTGCCATTATGAGACTTGCAATCGGGAACAAAACACTTCATTGCCCTCAGTCCGGTTACCCCGCGTCTTCACACACAAATACGAAAATATTGTCGCGACGTGAAAATAAAAGGATACAGGACGCGGGTGCGATCAGGAAAGACAAGGTCTGTATTGACAGAACAAAGGAGCAGCCGCTTCGACGTCGTCTTTCTCGGAGCAACCGTGCGTGCAGCCCACGCTCATCACTTCGTCGTCCCACGCTCATCACTTCGTCGTCCTCTTTCCCGACCTTTAGCCATGACATTAGCCTCCCTTTCAAGTAAGCATCATCCCGATGCTTTATAGTCACAGTGGTTCGTATCCGCTGGAAACACACGAGTTCATTCGGAGAAATAAGGTTTCATACGAACAACGTGCACAACTTCTGGAGCACACCTTCGACACCTTAATGAGTGTGCAGTATCAGGAACAACCTCATAATTAATGTCACTGAGACGTCGCAGAACTTTATATGGCCTGAAGTACCGTCTTAGGAATTTTTCCGAGAGGCCACGGTGCCGAATAGGAGTCCATATCCAAACTTTCTCTCCTGGCTGATATGAGACTAGTCGGTGACGAAGGTTGTACCGTCTTGAATCGTAGTCCTGCTGGCGACCAATACGTAGGCGTGCAAGTTGTCGGGCTTCTTCGGCAAGCTGGGTGATATAATCAGCATCCGTCTCGACGTTTTCGTACTCAGGTGGCAGCATGGCATAGTGGTGACTTCTCGACCATGAAGAAGGCAGAATGGCGTTGTTCTTGTTGTTTCTTTATGAGC